TACAGATTTATTCCGATTTGGTAGTGCCAAACGGCCATCTGTATGAATGCTATGTTGAGGAAACCTCGCAGGAAAGGTACCAGAATGGTCTTGAGAGCTTGGCCAAGTAACCTAACACCTATGTGGGTTAGAAACTGAAACCTTGGCGAGTTTAAGTTCTTTTCAAGTTCCTAAGAAATAACTCACTATAGGTGGTCTGAGCGCGCTCAACCATCGTTCTCGATCCGTTTCTGATTCGGCGTTCAATAGTAACTCCGTCTGCCTTCCTCGAGCATTTCTCATAAACACGCAAAGAAACAGATGAGGACGAGTTGGGAAAGATGTTGATGCTACCTGAAAATGAGGAACAATATAAAAAAATCGAGATGTTTTAAGGCTAACTGAGACTCACGCGATCATTGTCGATCTCTACCGGTTGCACGTCGACGTAACGCCTTGCTGCATAATCTTTGCATTCGTAGGTCCCATTTCTAAAAGGTAAGGCACTCCTCTTTCAGCATTCCATGATATGCGCACTTATAGGATGCCTAGATTACTCACAGCTTCTTTTTGGTGATCAGGATAATATCGGAGAACAAGAATATATACACATTCCGAGTCTTCTGCTTTCCCTGAAATGACACATCAGAGGACGAAATCTCGGATTGCATATTCCGATTTGGGTACTGGCAAGTTACCAGATCGTGGCCAATTACCGGGAAAAGAAGTATGAATGTGCTGTGACTCGACTTAGGCTTTCCAGTACTCCGATATGAAACAAGGACCTAACGTGAGAGTTAGCAGGAGGACTTGTTCAAAGGATTATAGGAAAGCTGCTGCGAGTGAAAAAGAAGCGTTTCGAAGGGGCAGCCAACAAAAACGGGTAAAGGCAAGGCATGAAAGTCATATAGGCCTCCTGGATGCTTTGAGAAGCGGCGATAGCTCATTTGTATTGCGCTATGGTTGAAATATCACCAGACCCAGAGATGCTTGGTTGTGAACAAAGCACTGGAGAAAGCGCTACCGGCACAGTTTGACGACGGGGGGGGGGCATTTTGCACTTTTGCTACTTCCCATCGACGTGTCGACCTATCTAGACAGCCTCTTCTCGAGTTGACAGGTTTTAACATGATGGCTTGACGACCTTGTTCCAGCTTCACAAGAGTTCACAGGTTTCGCCAGAGTGAGACATGTAAACCGGAACTAAGGAAGCAATGATAGTACAAAATGCCCCCTCCTGTCGTCAAACTGCGCCAGCACTACCTATTTGTGAGTACTGATCGCGATCCTACCAACAACTCAGCATCCTTTTGAGCAGGGCACGTCATGCGCTGGGAAATCCCCAGCGAGGGCCGTACATGGTCGCTGGAGGCGGTGGAAGGGGCAGGTAGTATTTCATTTTGAGAAAAGTGTTTCCGGTTGTCTATCATTTTCTGCACCGTGTGCTTCCTCTCCACCCTCCCCTTTTCTCCTTAGGCCTGCCCTTTCCATGGCACGTT